AAAAAAAAAAAAAAAAAGCAGCATTGCACCTAAAACCTGCTGCACACAGCTCATCTCCTTGCCTCGGTGACCTAATGGGGATGGACCCCTTCTCTGTACATGACCCACTACTACTGCGCACGGCTCACCTCTCTGACTAGGTGACCTTATGGGGTGGCCCCTTCGCTTGCTCCTCATGTGATTATGTATGCCTTATCATTCAGCCCGTAGTGACCTCACTCACGACCCTTCCCCCTGCCTTGTACATAATACAGATGCTTCTGGACGTTCAGGCCCTCACCTGTCCCCGCTCATAAGTGGTGTGGCCCCCTGAGCCCAGCTGTCTTTTCCAGTCTTTCTGTGTCCTGTCTCTTTACTTCTCGGATCTTCTGCATAGCTATAGGGGACACCCCACAACTCCTCAGGGCTGTGGCTTTACACCATCCTAATCTTTCCCTGGACACGCGTGGGGACCTCCTCCTCTCCCTGCCTCACGTGCACCTGCCCCTCTTTCCCTGAACCCTTCCTTGGCTCTCTCATAAGACCCAGAGGCCCAACGCTATCGCACCTCTTCCACTTCCCTCCTTCCCCGCGTCACTCCCCCCGGCTTATTCCCTCTCGGGCTCTTTGCACTTAAACATCTCTCTCCCCCAAATCTCCGCGTGCCTGTCCCGTGTCAACCTTCGGATCTCAACTTCAATGCCGCCGGCTCTGACCACAGTGGGAGCAGCACAGGTCAGGCCAGCGGGAAGCCCTCTTGGGAGACTGGGGCAGGAGGGGAGCCCTGAGGAAGTCCCGTCCAGCTTCTGTCACTCCCACGTTGGGCAGAGCAGGCCACTGAGCCACCGTCCACTCCTTCCATCATCTCCAGACCCCAAGGCCTCTGGGAGCGGGTCCAAGAGTGAGCCCCACCAGCCCCTTCACACCGGCAGAAGTCGGGCAAGAAGCCACAGTTCTTCCCAAGCACCCCACCTTCTCGGCGCTCACCTTGACTGTGCGGATGTAATCCAGTGCATTGGGGACCAAGGACTCCAGTTCCGGGAATCTCTTCGAGTACTTATCCCGGATGAACTTATGGATGATGTCTAGGGTGGACAGGACAGGCAGTCTCGGATAAGACAGGAGGTAGACTCTGCTGGTTGCCCTAACACCCATTTCCCCTTCTTCCTTTAGGTATGACCACGGGAATTTGTTCTGCTCTGTAAGATGTGAGCTGTGGTGACATGTTCTTAAGAAGAAGAAGTCCCTTGCTCGTGGGAATTCGGAGGTGATGGCCGGAGGTGGGGCAGCCACCTTGCACCGTGAACAGGTGGACGAACAACAAGATGGAAAGAGCTGAGGCCACACCATCCCCGAGTGCTTGCTCAGACTCATACATAAGAGGAGAACAAATTTCCTTCTTTAAACCACTGTTACAGCAGGTGAACCTGGATTTGAGCATGGGCTCAGGGGCAGGACCCTGGGAAAGGCCAGTGGAGAAGGGAGAGGGGGCATGAGGGGCGTCACACGGGGCTGCGTCTGCCTCCCCTCCAGCACTCACTTAGCTCGTTTTCAATCTCCACGGTCAGGTTGTTGGCATCCACAATGACGCGGTATTCTGGGGCTGCCTCCACTGGTCCCATCACTGTGAGGACACAGAACGGAGTGTGAGTATCTAAATCCCTACGCCCTCCCGGGTCCTGAAGCTGCGGGAGATGGAGGATGAGGCTGCGAGGGGGTCAGGAAAGAGGGGCTGAAGAGTAAACCAGGGGCAGGCTGATGTCTGCAGAGTCCCTGATCTTGTGTTCCTGCCTCCAATCTCTCTCCCTCCAGACCAGTTTAGACTTGACCCCCTCTACCCCGGAGCTGAACCTCCTCTGGCTTCCCACAGCCCTAAGGCTCATGACCAAGCTCCCCAGACTGATAGTCATGGTGTCCCCAACACCCGAAGTTCTGCAGGGACCAGTGCTGTGCCTGCATTGTCTACACCTGCACCCCGAGTACCCAGAACAGCACCTGGCATACAGGGAGCTGTCCAGTCCGATCTGCTGGCTCAGCAACTCTGCGGCCTGGCTTCTGCCCTTCCCACCCTTCCCTCTCATCATACCCCATTGTATTCCACTCCAGCCATAAAGGACTGATCGCAGTGCCCTGGACACCCACACCGCCTGGCCTTTTTTTTTTTTTTCTCGGAGTTTCGCTCTTGTTGCCCAGGCTACAGAGCACCATCTCGGCTCACTGCAACTTCCGCCTCCCAGGTTCAAGCAATTCTCCTGCCTCGGCCTCCTGAGTAGGTGGGATTACAGGCATGTGCCACCATGCCCAGCTAAATTTTTTTTGGTATTTTTAGTAGAGATGGGGTTTCACCACATTGGCCAGGTTGGTCTCGGACTTCCAACCTCAGGTGATCCGTCTGCCTTAGCCCCACGCAGTGGTGGGTTACAGGGGTGAGCCACTGCATCTGGCCCCTCCTGGCCTCTGCATATGCTGTTCCTTCTCCCCATGTCTGTTTCCAGAAAACCCTTCTTTGTGCTTTAGTAATAGGGGGCCAGGCACAGTAGCTCACACCTGTAATCCCAGCACTTTGGGAGGCGCAGGCAGGAGAACTGCTTGAGCCCAGGTGTTTGAGAGCAATCTGGGCGATACAGGGAGATCCCATCTCTACAGATAATTAAAGAAAAAAAATTAGCCAGGCATGGTGGTGTATGCCTGTGGTCCTAGCTACCTGGGAGGCTGAGGCAGGAACGCCGGAACCCAGATGGTCAAGGCTGCAGTGAGCTGTGTTTGTGCCACTGCATTCTTGCCTAGTGACAGAGTGAGACCCTGTCTCAAAAAACAAACAAAAAGTGATGCTCTGTTTAAATGTCATACAAATACTAACTGCCTGATGTCACAGAGCCAGTAGACAGCAGAGCTTAAATCTGACCCCAGGCAGGGTGGCTTCAGAATCTGTGCTCCTAACCCTGATGCCCAAATGTCTCTTGAAGTCCTTAAGACTCAGGCAGTGACTCAGAATCGTTCCCTCCCTTTCCGGAAGGATCAGATGCCTCCTCTGTGTACCTGCAGCACTTGTGCACTCCAATAAACAGGACCTGCCACCTGTGCTTGTGAAATGTTTCATGTCTACCCCTCCAACCAGACACAGGGTATGGCGGGATCTGACTCGTCCCTGATCCTGGCCTGACGTCAGGAAATGTCACTTTCTGTGTCCCGTAACTCTCTGGATGGAGAAGTTCCCCGGCCTGGCATCTGGAACTCTGTGGGATCTGGCATGTTCCTGAGCCCGCCCTCTCACTCCTAGTGTCTGAGGCCCTGGGCATTCTTTCCTGGCCCCCTTCCTCCCTTTCTTTGCTTGGCATGTGCATTCATGCTGTAGAGTCCAGTTCAGCCATCAATTCTTCCCTGACCCCTGGGGCAGGGTCAGCTAGTCCCTCCTGTGGCTCCAGTGGCCCCAGCTTGGTATCACCCACTGACAGCTGTCTGGAACTTGGCCTGCCTCTTCCACCAGACCTTAAGCACATTAAAGCACAGACCTGGGGGGTTCAACTGGGTGCCCAGGTAAACGTTAAAGATAGTAGGCAGTGGGTCTCCTGAACCTCTGCTCTCTCACACACTTCTTTGCCCAGCAACCTCCCATGGCTTCCTGTTGTCAAGAAATTCCATTCAAGAAAATGGGAAGGCCGGGAGCAGTGGCTCATGCCTGTAATCCTGGCACTTTGGGAGGCCGAGGTGGGCTGATCACTTGAGGTCAGAGGTTCAAGACCAGACTGACCAACATGGTGAAACCCCGTCTCTACTAAAAAAATACAAAATAGCCAGACATGGTGTTGCATGCCTGTAATCCCAGCTACTCGGGAGGCTGAGGCAGGAGAATCGCTTGAATCTGAGGCGGAGGTTGCAGGGAGCCAAAATCATACCACTGCACTCTAGTTTGGGCGACAGAGCGAGACTCTGTCTAAAGGAAAAAATAAAAAAAAAGAGAATGGGAGTGGTAACAGAACTGCCCTCTAAGACTTAGTCTGACTACTCAAGAGATAAGCCAGTGTTCCGGAAATCTGGAAGTGAGAAAAGGTTTTAGATGATACTTTAAGAGTAACACATTTATTTTTATATGCTGACTTTATCTTTACCAAGTGATACCAGTTTCCCATTCATGGTAGCAATTTGCTTTCTTCTTAAATAAAATTTAAGAAAAAAGTCCTAGACTCAAAGAATATGTTAAGCAATTAAAGGACAAGTGGCTTCTAGATGTGGCCAAAACCCTATAACTGGTCATGTGAATCAGGGAAGTCTGGGAAACCTCAAGCTAAGTCCTATCATGATTAGTAAACTCAGTACACAGTAAGGACTTAAGAAGCATGAGCTTTACGATGCAATATATGTTTAGTGGAAAAGGGAATGGGTTGGGGAGGAACAAAAAAGAAAAAGAGAAGGCTCTGGAAAAGGCTGAGAGGGAGATATACCCAGCCACAAGGAGCAAAGGAGCCAAGGGGCCTGGCAGAAGAGTCAGGAGATGGGGAGGGGCACGAAGGGGGAGGAAGTACCTTCTGAAGCTTTAGCTTGCTTGCTGATATACTCCTCAATCTTCATCATAATCTCAGCAAACTGCAGGAAAGGAGGACAGTCAGAATCCAGGACTCTTCAAAAAGAAGCCTGTATCACCCCTTTCTGGGAGACCGTTTAGAGCCCCCTGCTATCCATGCCTCTTGTCCACTTACCATCTTACTGTCCCATAGCTTGGCGATGGTCTTGACCGAATCCCCGGAAAGATCCAGCTGTGTCTCCTCCTGCACATCTTCGATCGCTGGCTCCTCTTCCTCCTCCCCATAGCTTCCTCCTTCCTCCTCTTCTGCTGCCTCTTCGAGATCGGCTAAGAGCTCATCTGCCAGAGACATCCCGAGGCCTGTGGAGAGGGAGAGTAGGGTTCCCTAAACACTTGCCCTGACAAAGTCCCTCCTTATCACTGAGAAGATTCTCCCCCAGAAGGCCTTGGTCCTTCTTTACCAATCCCACCAGCATGCAGGCTCCACATCGACAGCTGCTTTAGTTTGTTTTGTTCACTGTCCAGTCTCCAGCTCCTGCGTGTGCAAGACACAGCATATCCCTGTGACCATCACCCTGCTAAGACTTCCTGTAATCAAGTGGCTTAGATTCCAAATGCATTTTGAAACTTTTTTTTTTCCTTTCTTGCTTTTAGCCTTGAAAACGTACTTTGAAATTGTTTCCCTCCTTTCCCTCTAGATACTCTCTTGCACCAGCTTATCTATGTGCTTACTTGCAAGTTCTAGGGGCTAATCTTCATTTATTTTTTAAAGATGGAGTCTTGCTGTGTCACCCAGGCTGGAGTGCAGGGGCACAATCTCGGCTCACTGCAGCCTCCACCTCTGGGTTCAAGAGATTCTTCTGCCTCAGCCTTCCAAGTAGCTGGGACTACAGGCACCTGCCACCATGCCTGGCTAATTTTTTGGTTTTTTCTTTGTTTTGTGACAGAGTTTCCCTCTTGTTGCCCAGGCTGGAGTGCAGTGACACGATCTTGGCTCACCGCAACCTCCGCCTCCCAGGTTCAAGTGATTCTCCTTCCTCAGCCTCCTGAGTAGCTGGGATTACAGGCGCACGGTGCCATGCCCAACTAATTTTTTGCATTTTAGTAGAGACGGGGTTTCACCTTGTTGCCCAGCTGGTCTCAAACTCCTGAACTCAGGCAATCTACCCACCTCAGCCTCCCAAAGTGCTGCGATTACAGATGTGAGCCACCACACCCGGCCTTTCTTTCATTTATAAACTGCATGAGTCAAATTGTGAATCT